GGGTGACACGTGCAGGGACGGGGGACTCCCGGGGGGCTCTGGACACTGAGAAGGGCTCTGACCCAGCGCTAGGGGCCGGGAAGGCTTCCGGGAGAGCGAAAGCACAGCGGAGTCCAGCGTGGTGGTGGAGAACAGCCTGGAGACCAGGAGGCCCCGGCCTCGGAGAGCAGCCCCCAGTGGTCCTGGGGGGCTGAGGGGCAGGAGGAGGCAGAGCAAAGCTGGGAGCCCATCCTTCCAATTCTTGGCGGATCTTCCACTGAAAGCACCTGCTGGGTGTCGAGCGCTAGATTGGCCCTATCAGCAGAGAACATAGTCCCTGTGCTCAGATCAGTTAATTCCTAAAGTTCCATGTGTAATTAGCGCTTTGAAGGAAATGCTCAGAGGCAGAGCAGCGGGCCAGGGAAGCAACTCTAGACAAAACGGGCAGAGGAAGCTTCCGCTGGGAGGTGAGTGAGCCGTGGGCAAGGCTGGAAAGAAATGGGCCCAGGGAAAGGCAGCTCCCCCACCCAATGGGGCCAAGAGCTCAGTGCATCTGGGTGCCCCCTGAGCCTGCGGCTGTCATGGGAGAGGAGGCCACACCCTGCTGGGCGACACTAGTGACTCCTGATGTTATATCTGCAAAGGGAAGCCACCGTTTTGTTGTTCTGTTTCCTTGAGATCTACTCTTTGTTCCTTTCCCCCCTCTTTTACTGACTTTTTATCAGTTAAATGTTCCTACCCCTAGCTTACGAGCTACACTTCATTTTACTTTCCATTGTTTCTCTGCAGTTTGTAATACACATGCTTCGCTTACCACTGTCTGTCTTTAAATAATATTATACAACTTTGCGTATAGTCGAAGGTGCTTTCTTCTCCTGCCCTTGTGCTATTGTTTTCATCTATGTGGATTATATGTTCTGTAATACATCGTCACTATATTTCTTGTAAAATGTCCATTATTTTAGATTTAAGGAGATTTGCAAATGAGAAAAATGTTGACCCAGATATTTACCATTTCCAATCATTTTCCTTCTTAGAAAAATGTTTGTACTGTGCATATTTACCATCTTAACCATTTTTAAGTGCACAGTTCAGTAGTATAAAGAACATTCACGTTGCTGTGTGGCCATCACCACCATCCATGTCCAGGACTTTCCATCTTATAACACTGAAACTGTATGCTCACAAAAACACAATAAACACAAACTCCCTGCTCTCCCCTCCTCCCTGTATAATGGCAAGCACACTTCTACTTTCTGCCTTTATGGTTTTGACTACTCTCAGTACCTCCTACAGTATTTGTCTTTCTGTGCCTGGCTTACATCATTTAGCGTCATGTCCTCAAGATTCATTCATGTGGTAGCATGTGTCAGATTTTCCTTTCTTTTTAAAGCTGAATAATATGCCACTGTGCATATATATATATATAGCACATTTTGCTTATCCATTTCTCTGTCGATGGACACTTCTAATGGAATTGCTGGATATGATAATTCTGTTTAATTTTTTTTAATGTTTTATTTATTTTTGAGAGAGAGAGAGAGAGACAGAGCATGAGCGGGGGAGGGTCAGAGAGAGATGGAGACACAGAATCCAAAGCAGGCTCCAGGCTCCGAGCCATCAGCACAGAGCCCGATGCGGGGCTCGAACTCACAGACCGTGAGATCATGACCTGAGCCGAAGTCGGACGCTCAACCGACTGAGCCACCCAGGCGCCCCATAATTCTCTTTAATTTTTTGAGGAACCACCATACTGTTGTCCACAGTGGCCACACCATTTTAGATCCTCACTAACAGCACACGAAGGTTCTGATTTCACCACATCCCCAATAACACTTGTTTTCTGGGTTTTTTTTTTTTAGCCATCCTAATGGGTATGAAGTGGTATGTCATTGCAGAGAAATTTCCATCTCTCTAGTGATGAGAGATGGGCATCTTTTTGTGTGTTTATTGGCTTCTTGTAAGTCGTCTTTGGAGAAATGCCTGTTCAAGTTATCTGCCCATTTCTGAATCTGGTGGGTTTTTTATTGTGACTTTTAGGAGTTCTCCTCTTTATTCTTTTGTGTGGGCCAACTTGCCATACAGTTATTATTTTCTTTCCTTTTGAAGAAAGTCCATCAACATTTCCTGCAGTTTATTCTTCTGATGATGAATTCTCCCAATTTTGTTTGTTTAAAAAAAGTCGTTGTTTCTCCCTCATCTATTAAATAAACATTAATTTTTTAGAGCAGTTTCAGTTTCACAGCAAAATTGGAAGGAAGGTACAGAGATTTCCCATGGACCCCCTGCCCCCACTCCTTCACAGCCTTCCCCATAATCCACGTCTCCCGCCAGATGGAACATTTGCTACAGTTGATACACCTGCACTGACACATCATGATCGTCCAAAGTCCATAGCTTATGTTAGGGTTCACTCTTGGTGTTGTACATCCCGTGGGTTTGGACAAACATCTAACGATATGCATCCATCATTGCACTATCATGCTGAATAATTTCACTGCCCTAAAAAGTCCCCTGTGCTCCACTTGTCCATCCCTCCCTCTTCCTAACCCCTGGCGACCACTACTACTCTTTTTACTGTCTCCGTGGTTTTGCCTTTTCCAGAATGACATAGAGTTGAAATCGTACAATATGTAGCCTCTTCAGATTGGCTTCTTTCACTTAGTGATGTGCACTTAAGTTTCCTCCACTGGGATGATTTTAAGCAAAGGAGGGACATGACCTGATTGATGGTTTTAAAAGACTGTCTGGCCACTGTGGGGAAAAGTGGATTAGAAGGGGTGGAGCAGGTGGCGGGGGGGGGGGGGGCTAGCTGGGCAGTTAGCTGGAAATCTGTGCCAGAGGTGGTGGTAGATTGAACCCAGAAAAGGAAAAAAGGGACAGACACACTGACCAGAGTGATTGATAGACCCGGCGGGGGAGGGAGGAGGAGGGCAAGTGAGGCCCGGGAGCTGGGTGATGGTGGGCAACAGGCAGAGCTGGGAAAGGGGACAGGGCATTTCATTTGGAGCCCATTAAATGTGAAATGCGTGACAGTCAGGAAATGCTAGGAGGGCAGTTAGTGAGAAACTGGGTCTCAGAAGACAGGAGAGGGGAGAGATGAGAATTTGGGAGTCCTCATTTACAGATGTATCCAGAGCCCTGGAAATGATGCCACCAGGGAACAGAGAGCACAGGGGAGAAGAAGGAAAGAAAGGGGCCACGAGATGAGGGGAGACGTGCCCATTACACCATCCATCCCAGGCACAGCAGTCAGTAGCTGCTAAGCGCGTATTGGTGGAATGAAGGAAGGACAGCAAGGAGCCAGGCAGGAGCACCAGCAGGATGGGTGGTGTGGTCGGCCCCGGCTGCTGTCCTGGGGAAGGGACTGGGGAGGGCTCAGAGTCCAGGGAGAGGCAGGGTTGCCCACAGTGGGCGGAACAGAGTGGAAAGGAGGCGGCCGAGTCAGGTGGGAGTGAAAATCCCACCCAGGTCTCCAGCTTGAGTGGCTGGTAGGGCAGCTCTTAGAGATGGGTGCACAGGGAGGGGGCTGGAAAGTGGGTGAGGGGTGTTCCATGCGGGGAGGGGAGGATGCTGGTCCCAATCCCGGACCCGGGGAAGGGGGCGGTGTCTCCCCGTGGGCCCACATTTCCCTATAACATCCTGATCCCTCTGTAGTGGACCCGCCCACCTGGCAGCCCCGGGGGTCATTTCTCGAGTCCCTCGGTAGGCGGGCTGCGCTGTGCTAATTCCTTCTGTCCCGCTGCCACCGTGTGGCGATTAGGGGAATGACAGCCGGAAGGACCTCTTGGTCCGGAGCACGCGCCTTTTTATCCGTTTGAGTCTTCGTTGTGCACCTACTATGTGTGCAGCACTGAGCTAGGTTCTGTGTGGGATACAGAGGATCTGAGGCCTAGCAGTGAGGTGAGAGGGCTTGGAGTGGGCAAAACGGGGGATTTAATTCTGATTTCAAGACACGCCACGGTGTGACTTTGAGGAGAGGCGGCCCAGGCCGTGGCTTTGCAGGCTTCAGGGCTTCGGTAGAGGGACATTCCCAGGGGACCGTGCCCAGGGACAGGCTGAGGATGCCGAGGGCTCCCAGAGGTGCTGCTTCCCACTGCACATGTCCCTGCTGCTCTGCCACTGTCCCTTCCCACTCAGCGTGTCTGAATGTGCTCTCTCTTCTTTTCCTGTCCCCTTTGTCTGCCTCCCTGTTGATCCTTTTTCTGCTCTTTGGGGGCTCGCTCTCTGTTTCTCTGTGTCTGTCTTTCTGTCTGTCTCTGTCTCCTCCCGCCCCCTGTGCCCACCTCTCTCCCCATCTCTGCTTTGTCTCTCTCTTCCTGTCTCTTCAATCCATCCCTTTTCCTGTCCGTCTCCCCGATTTCTTGGTCCCCCACACTCCCCCGCCCTGTTGTTTTCCCTCTATCTTCGTCTCTGCCCATCTCCGCCCCGTTTCTTCCCGTCCCTCTGTTCCTGCCACCTGTCCCCCGCCCATCCCTCTTTCTGGCCCTGTCTTTCCTCGCCAGCCTGTCCAAAGCTGCTGACCTGGACCATCACTGGGTGGCCAAGGCCTGGCTGAATGACATCGGCCTGTCCCAGTACTCTCAGGCCTTCCAAAACCACCTGGTCGATGGGCGGATGCTACACTCCCTGATGAAGCGGGACCTGGAAAAGCACCTGAACGTGTCCAAGAAGTTCCACCAGGTCAGCATCCTGCTGGGGATCGAGCTGCTGTACCAAGTGAACTTCAGCAGGGAGGTGAGGACCAGGGCAGGAGGTGGGGGCACCTCCCACAGCCCTTCTTCCCACACTGGTACCCACTGTCTGTCCATCCGACTACCTGCCCATCGCTCCATCCACACACATCCATCTGCCCCTTCCTCACTCCCTCCCTCTTCCAACAACTGCTTGTTGGGCATCATCAGGCCCGGTGCCCAATTCAGAGGAAGTGGGGAACCCTCATCCAAGAGCTCACTGCTGATCAGGGAGAACCACATAGAAGCTGGAGCCACAATACCATGGAAAGTTGCCCCGGTGAGGAAAGCCTGGGGCTTTATGAAAATCCAAAGGAGTCGTTTCCAGAGGAATCAGGGAGGGCATCCCGGAGAGAGTGACAGCTGAACTGAGGCCTTGAACAGGGAGGCCAGGTAGGCAACCGGACAGCAGGGGGGAAGGGGGGAGAGTTAGAGTTTGGACTCTGAGCGCCCCCTTGATTCGGAGCCCTGCCAAGCCGGACGGCACGGGACATGCGCCTCAGCTCCCCGGGGACCAAATATCCCTGAGGGAGGGGCCCTCAGCTGCGGAGTGGAATCAGTCCAGATGGTTTCCTTTTCTTCGAATGCAACGTCAGAGCACAAGAGCTGGGGGTCAGGAGGAAAGGCATAGAAAAGGGCGCCGTCCAGCTCTCCAGCCCTTCGCGCAAGCCCAGCACAGGACCCGAGGCACAGGCCCCGGGCCCCCGGGAGCCCCAGGCTGGTGAAGGACGTGGATGTGCAGGAAGATCGTGAGAGTCAAGTGTGGAAAAGGGCTTGGTGCACTGGGGCTGGTCAGGGCAGGTTGGAGAAATCCATGGGCCAGTGGGGGGCAGAAATCCATGTGTCCACCCCCAGCCCAGGAGTCCTTGTCTGGGAGCCAGTCCCCCCAAGGGGGCTTGCGAAAGGGGACCAGGCTGATCCCTCTACAGGCCGCCGTGGGTGACGTTTTGTGCCTGGGTGACACTCGTTGCCCCCAGGGGCTGGGTGGACCCACAAGAGACCTAGCCCCTCATGGAAGGGCCACATTGTTGGGCACCCACTCTGTGTCAGGAGAGCGGCGGACAGGGACGCACAAACCAGGCAGCCTCTGGGGGTCTCACCCAGCCCTCCACCCCAGAAGCAGGCTTCTCCCCATTTCCCACGATGAACGGCCGAGCCCCAGCCTGACGTGGCCAGAGAAGCTGGGGCTCGCCGGCCAGAACTCCCCCCTGTACTGTCATACCAGGGTCCCCCCAACACGGCGGACCCTCGCTCCTTGTCATCTCTGTGTAGCCACCCTCCCCACCCCGACACACCAGCTGACCCACTGTCTTCCCCCCACAAGGCCCTCCAGGAGCGCCGCGCCCGCTGCGAGACCCAAAACATAGACCCCGTGGTCTGGACCAACCAACGGGTGCTCAAGTGGGTGCGGGACATCGACCTGAAGGTGAGAGGCGGTGATGGGCTGGGGGCGACTCGCAGGCATGTGCCAATCCCATGCACGTTTGTGTGCCTATTTTGTGGGAGTGGGGTGTCCGCCCAGGCTGCTGAGAGTGCCTGCCTCCTGTCGCTCAAGAGGAGGGAGCGCTCACCCCGCCCCCGCAGCGGGACCCCCATTAATGATGCCTTTCTCGTAGCAGGAGTGGAGAGGCTGGGCTGTCCCCTGAAGCCTGGGTCGGGTTGGATCTGGGTTTCTCTTCTCACTGGACAAGTATTTATGGGCTGCCTGCCAAGGTCTGGGGATATGTCAGTGACAAAATAGTCTTGGTGACCGTCCTCATGGCCGTAAAGGAGTGAGGGGATCCCCCTTGGGCTTCAACTGACCGGTCCCCAGGGGGACAAGCCTTTGCTGTGGGGGACATGTCCCCACTTGCAGCTGAGGGCACCTCAAGCCGGCAGGGCAGCCTCAGGACAACAGGGTGGCCCCCTCAGACTAGCAGGGCAGCCCCCCAAGGCTGACCAGCCCTGTGCCTCGCCCTCAGGAGTACGCAGACAACCTGACCAACAGCGGCATCCACGGTGCTGTGTTGGTGCTGGAGCCCACGTTCAATGCCGAGGCCATGGCCACTGCCCTGGGCATCCCCAGCGGGAAGCACATCCTTCGGAGACACCTGGCAGAGGAGATGACTGCCGTCTTCCACCCAGCCAAGTGAGTGTGGGCTGCTGGCTCCCGCTCTGGGGCTCGAGGAGATGAGCCTGACTTCCCCAGGGCCCCCTCACTTCCTGCACCCCCTTCTCCCCTACCACACGGAGGCCTCCTTTGACACAGAGGAAACTGGGGCTCCGAGAAGCAAGGTGCTTTAGCGTGAAGGTCACAGAGGAGGGGTCAGGTCTTGAATGAAGTGTGTGGTGAAATCCCCAAACTCCCCCGGCATTTAGGGAAGGGAAAGTGAATAGCACAGGTGTAAGGAAAGACCCTGCGAGGGTGGGGTGTGGGCTGGGGAGGACTCGCACCGGCCGGAGAGGTCAAGGTGGCCAGTCGGGCAGGGAGAGCTGTGGAGACGGAGGTTTGGAGGCGGCGATCGAGCAGACTGATGGTGCTGATGGTCCCGGGGAGCAGGCTGTGTCAGCCCACCGACCCCAGCCTCCTCAGCTGAAAAGTGGCCAGAGAAGAAGCACCTGGACAGATGACCCAGACCCCCTCCCAGTGGATTCTGTCCGCAAAATAATTACCGTTAGGCTAAAGTTTATTGGACACTTGCTATGGGTACTAATTTCATCCTCGTGACAACACCAAGAAGTCAGTGTCACCAACCCTCCTTTGAAAATGGAGAAACTAGGGGCGCCTGAGTGGCTCAGCTGGTTGAGCGTCCGACTTCGGCTCAGGTCACGACCTCTCAGCCAGTGAGTTCGAGCCCTGCGTCGGGCTCTGTGCTGACAGCTCGGAGCCTGGAGCCTGCTTCAGACGCTGTGTCTCCCTCTCTCTCTGACCCTCTCCCGTTCATACTCTCTCTCTCTCTCTGTCTCAAAAATAAATAAACGTTAAAAAAAATTTTTTTTTAAATAAATAAATAAGTGGAGAAACTTGTTCGAAGGGGCCAAGGTCCCTGCCCCAGGTCACACAGCTAGAAAGTAGCAGAGCCCAGATTTGCCCTTTGTTCTGTTAATATGACATATTACATCGACTGATTTCCATACGTTGGAAACCTTGCATTCCTAGGATAAATCCCACTTGGTCGTGGTGTATATTCCTTTTCATATGTTGCTGGACGAAATTTGCTAGCATTTGCATGAGGATTTTTGCATCTGTATTTATTTTTTTTTTATATATATAT